TTTGCTTCACTGATTCAATTTTGTATGTTCACGATATATGTTCATACAGCTGTTTTGCATGTGGAATTGTTCCATGCGATAAGAGAGAAATACACTGAAAGAAAAGCTTCGAGAGTTTAGTACTTCGCATTCCCTTATAACTTTAACGAGATTTCAATGTCAAATCATTGAAGTGACGCCAAAATAGCAAATGTCTTACGGGAACGCTAAACATTAAAAATGCATTTATAGAACAGGAACTGAAAGTCGGCTACGGAAAAGATCGAACGCACGGGAACATTTTTTATAAATAACCTAGAACAGCACCGCCACGTTTAAGAAACAAGATGTTTCATAAGATACTGTGCCAGGACTGCCCTAAACGCTACGTTTGCATGACTACTTAAGTAATAGCTCTGCCTATGGACTGGGTGACAGGACAACAGAGATCATCATATTCACGCAGAGTTCATATCCTTTGTCACGGCTGAGATTGTCGTGGGACTAAATAGCCAATGCATCTTTGACACGCTTGTGTATCTAGTGTCGTTTTTTGATGAAGTCGGTGCGTTTCACTCTCGGTGGAGTATTCTTATTGTGCCACGTGCTGCACAATCCCGGAAAACTTTTCACATTGTTCCTTGAATCTGCTTGGAACGAGGCTTTGTTTTCTCCTAGAGTACTTCGTTATCACTTGTCGCTCACGAGGTACTGACATGGGCTGAAACGCCTGTACTGGTCAATCATCTGATTAACCATACTATTTATTACATTATGCGTTAATAAACATTGTCTTATGCTGTTTTCAGTACTACCACAAACAGTGGAACGAAATGGTGTAACATTCATTTGCAAGAGGAGAACTACCTTATTCTGCACTAGTTGAACATGAAATCAGGCATAATACAAGGCATGCCTCAGCAGCGCGTAAATGTTAGATTATTCTCAGAAAACGACAAACTGGAAAGTTAAAACACACCACGTATAAAGTCACCATCTCTCTGCTATACGGAGAGGCAACATTCTACTAACTGGCTTGTGACATCAAAATGTTTATGCCATTGACATAACTTACATGGTTTATTCATTTACGGAACATTATTTTATATATTTGATTGTGTCTTACCTGAAGAAGACTAACAATAACATCGTACTTTATAATAACATCGCTGAAAGCGACGAAAAAGTTTACCTTCACATTAAAATCCTTCTGAGAATTCATGTACTCGAACAGTGCCTTGTAGTTCGTATAATGCAGTGTCCATTCTGACGAATGACCGAAACGAAAATCGTCACCTAACGGCACAAGCAACGACCTAGTCTGGAACAGTTTTGACTGCTTACGGAACTGGTCCAACAGCAGACGTGACCTAACGACAAGATTAGAAAGAAAAAGAAAGGCCGATACGGCCAAGCGCTACCTACCTTTCCGCAACATTTTTTGCCGTAATTGAGACCGGGTTAATACCCCAAGGGCAAGCTGCAAATATACCAGTCATGCGCGGAAAATCGAACTGGCAGCAGACTCTGGGATCAGGGCCACATGTGTGAGGAATGTCGTAACTGTAGAACGGGAACATGTGGCAGAAAATGTCTGCGCTCTGGTCGTTTCCTATAGATCAAAAGAAAGGTTAAATGCACAGTGAAACGATCACGTACTCCACAACGGCCTCCAGTAGAACTCTAGTTGCCTGTTCCTGGCCAGATGCTTCTTGATCGCGTAGTGTACTCGATGAATAGACATACTCCGAAAGCCGGACAGCTGTATCAGTACAGGCATCGTTGCGCTCTGACCGAAGGGGTCGATCGACCAATGGCTCACTGGTTTGTAACCTAGACAAAAAAACCAAACAGAATTTTTGTGAAACCATAAATACGTGGTAAACATGCATTCATATACCCAAATAGTTTTCCAAAAACTGATGACCCTCGATCAGCTGATCGATCAAGGCGAAGTAATGCGAAGCCGCTTCGTCCGCCATCACCCAGCCACCGGTGACGATTTCCAACTGTCGTTCAGTCAAAAGTCGAAAAATATAGTCAATTATGAAAACACTACTTTGTTTCTCCAATTAATTCTAATAAAGCTGCAAAAACTATTTCAGCTTCAACATTATCAGAAAATCAGATATCGAGAAATGCGTTTTTAAACAGCAGCTGACTTTGTAAATGGGAAATGTTCAAACTACTCCATCCTCTACTGTTAAAAGTAGAAGAGTTTTGGAACCATGTCTGCTGTTACAGGTGGAGAATAGCTATCTTACTGATTCCCTAACTTCTCTGGAGTTCACCAGAGAATACTGTTGCCTTTGCAATTCAACGTTGTACTGGACTTTCTTCTATGAAACAACAGTAACCCTGGCAAAAATGAAGGTCTCATTCTAGAATGAAGGTGCAGTTCAAGGCATTCGGTCAGATATCTTGCTGACTTGGAGAACGCATGATATTGTCCTGATAAGTAGTACAAGAAGTGGGCTGTGCCACTTAACAGATACGAAAGTCGGCATGTTTCTTAATGCTTGGAACCCATCGGGCACAGCTTATCGACAAGTGGAACAGGAAGGTGAAGTCCTTCAGGAAGTTAACCAGTTTAAGTATCTCAGCTACAATATCCCCAACGATGGCACTATTTAGCCTTAAATAGGATAACAGTCTTAGCTCTAGTGCCTTTTGAAACCTGTTCAATAATCAGGTTGAGAAAGGAGTTACATTTCTTACGAAATTTTGCCTGTACCTTGCCTCTGCCAGGTCAGTGTTGTTGTACGGTATGGATATATGAGGAGGAGCAGGAAGAGCGGTTCAACTGCGCACAGCAGCGTTAGCTTCGACTCATAATAAGGGTTAAATAGCAAAACCAGATAAGGAATGGCTCTCTTCTCTTCTGAGCATACGTGATCTCACTAGATATAGAGGTTAAGAAAGAAATTGCCCTTGTTAGACAAGCTGGTTAGGCATATATTATTTACTCTAGTCCGTGAGCTTTTCGTGTGGGCGCCGAAACATGAGAGACTTTGACCAGGATTCCAGCATGCAGATGTGCTTTCGGCGAGCCATGTTTCTTTCTGCGACGCAGAAATCAATTCGTTATAGCAAAAGCGTTGAAAAGCTGCGGATACGTCGGATGCCACAAAGAAGAGACGCTGTGCCAGTGCAAACGCTCAAGGTGATGATCTCAGCAAACAACAACTGTTGAAAGCAAGAAAATGATTATCCAAATAGAAATCTAATTGTAATCTATGATCTGTGAAAAAACATCATCTGGTTTATCTGGTTTCTGGTCTACCTGGTTTATCACCTGGTATAGCATTCTGTGTCGAGCCATTGTGCTTATTTATCGTATAAATAAAATCGAGGGAGAATCGAGATCCGGTAGCATAATCTGTTGTTTGTGCAACACAGCGACTTTGTGTAACTCACTGCTGACGGATGACAGCCATCCGTTTCAAGTTAACATCAAAAGAGTAGCTCTGCAGTCAGACATCAAAGGCAAAGGTCTATCTTCCCTGGCTAGGACACTACGAATTTCGGTAGGACAGAAACGAAATCACTGTGTGATCAGTCGCAACGTCCGAGGTGATAAATTCTTCCCTGCTATATTATGTACTATATTTTACAGATATCCTGCTGTGTGAATATGGCGAATGCTTTTGCACACGCGAATAAACTTTCGAAAATACCGTTTTAAAACTATCTAACAAATGTAAGTGCTAGTCGAATACGGGGTCGAACACAATCGGTAGAGCGCCACATTCGGAGGCGAATGATCACTGGGTCAGGAAATTTGCCACCTGTCTTCCAGATACAGAAAGGAAGAATCTACTTTAGTGACTATTTGGGTACAGATAAACTATTACTCAGATGATGATGCTGGTGAGCGGCGTCGAAACGCGTCGGTAAAGAAGGATTTTACATCGTCCTTTATAACTGCTGCCAAGAACCATGCATCAGAAAGCGAAGACCTTTGCCCTTATTCTAACAGGCAATGAATTCATACCTTCTCCCATTCCTATTAGTAAATAAACTATTCGTTACTTCATCTGCCTACTAAAAGAACGGGTACTTTGATGATACAACCGAGTTAATCACAGTAGTGATATGCATAAGAAAAGAAACGCATCTTGAACAGACATATAGATAACTTCAGATGCATACTAAGTCGATCTGCATACCTAAGTGCATAAAATATTTACAGAATAAATTATCTCTGTAGGTCTCGCGATGCATAAGCACGTTAAGTTGCTGATCAAAAGATACTGCAGACACTTTTTTCTAGGAAAAGCATTAAAATCTTGCATTCCCAAGTCATGCCACTAGAACATGTGCATTTGCATGCGCTGTTATCACTGTATATGCAGAACAGGCTTTCGCCTTATCTGTCCATCATGCCTACGATTTTAAAACAGTCCTTAACAGCGCTTTTTAGATCTAACATGCATTACCTGTTACGCTTTATTAGTCTGTTTCAGTCCGGTAGTAAATAAAGAACTTGGGATAAGCGCACTCGTTCCCTGCATGATTATTCCTCATGAGGCATTTTATGGCTTCCCGTTACCGAGTTCCAGCATGTAATTGCGCTCACATAAACTGAAAGGACAAGGAGGAGCCTTTGCAACGATTGGAAGTCGGTCTCCCCATTTTATTTCAGTGGC